CCTCAGGCTTTTTAGGGTTTAGGGTTTAGGGTTTAGGGTTTCGGGTTTAGGGTTTAGGGTTTGAGGTTGAGAGTATGTGGCCGTTGCTGTTTTGAGGTCTGAAGCCTAAACTTTAGGGTTGAGGGCTTGGCAAGAACACCCGGTTTTGGGTTTAGGGTTTTGGGTTTAGGGTTTTGGGTTTTGGGTTTTGGGTTCTATGTAAACCTGCCTTGGCCTCCGCTCATCTTCAGGTGGATCCTTGCAAAGAAGGAAAATCGCCAGGCACCCGGAGGAAACGGGCCTTCAAGGACATTGGGCTGCCTGTTCACGGACAGCGGGGTCTAAACCCTAAACCCGCAAAAAACCGTTTCAAAGGAGTTGGTTCCCAGAGCTTTGGAGGTGCGCTGCAACTTCTTACGGCCGTAACCTTAGAATAGAAGCGAGTTTCAGAACATGAGGGACCCCTTAACCCTAAACCCGAACCCCGAAACCCTAAACCCTAAACCCAACAACAGAGACCATGTCAGTAGTCGGAAGGACGGTGAGTTTGCGAACCCCCAGCTGCCAGAAACCTGCCGTTAAAAAAGCGGGCAAACCTTCAAATCAATGAGATCCCGGGCTTTAGGGTCTAGGCTTTAGGGTTTAAGGTTTAGGGTTTAGGGTTTAAGGTTTAGGATTTAGGGTTTAAGGTTTAGGGTTTAGGGTTTAAGGTTTAGGGTTTATGGTTTAAGATTTAGGGTTTAGGGTTTGGGGTTTAGGGTTAAGGGTTTAGGATTTGGGGCAAACCCTCAAATCCTAAACTTCTTAAAGCCTTTTCCCTTTGGGGCTTGTTGCCGAGGCCAGGGGCGATCCTGGTGTTCGTGCCCGGGCTCAGCGACGCTGGGACAATGAGCTCAGGGTAGTCTCGCCTCCAGGAGATCACGGATTCACTAGCCTACCTATAGTCTCCATTGTAGTTCCTTTTTGGGTATACCTTATAATTCAATTAACATATAATTGGTTAAACCAAAAAAAGGAACTACAATGGAGACTATAGGTAGTAGTAGAGTAGGCAACCTTTAACCTCTTTGGGGTACTACACCCGTATATACTCCCAATATACTCCGAAAGTTTAACCGGTAGTTCCCCAGGATACTGGACAAGGTAGGTAAGCTATGATATACGATTTATGGCTTTATGGCTTAGGGTTGAGGGTTTTGAATATACCCTAAACTACCACAACCTACTTCTTGTAGGTTCTTGCAACAGACCCGACCATAGAATGAATCGCGACCCTACCAAAAAGTCGGTTTTTGTACAAGGTGGCGTGTGTCTGCGTAGACTTTAGTGACTTGGAATCACACTGACAAAGTTCCCCTGTCTCCACGGGGTTTTCATGCCCAAGGTTTAAGGTCTAGAGTTTAGCGCGTTTAGGGTTTAGAGTAGAGTATCACAACTTCAGAAGTGTGTCTTTGGTTTAGGGTTTGGGGTTTAGGGTTTAGGATCCTCAACGGTAAACCCTAAGCCCTTGAACGCTACATGCTTCCCCAGGAAATCAAGAAAGCGATGCGATGTCTGGAGGAGGATACGCTTCTGCGAAGGTAGATCCTTTTGGCCACGGACAGCCCCAAAACCTAAAGCTTACCCATAGGCCCAAAAGTAGTTCCCTTTTGGGATTACCTAATAGGATCCTAAATAATTAGAAGCCACAAAAACGGAACTACTATGGGGCCGAAGTCGAGAATTGTTCGAAGCTTGAAGAATTTCAAATAATACTCCTCATGGAGCTCTGCCTTCGAACTATACGATGATATGCCCCGCCCCGAACCCTAATCTGATTGTTAGGGCCGCCATATTAACAACCGGAACCCCTACGAGCCAGTCTTCTTTTTAATTTGTTTGCGCAACTGGGGCTTGCCAGGAGATGTCTGGCAGCAAAGGCAAAGCGAAGGGCAAAGATTCCTTCGAGAAAGGCGCCTTGGAGGGCTTCTGTTTGGGGTTTCATATAGGGGCCTGAGTAATTAGACTAGGGTTTTAGGGCCCATTATACTGTAATTGTCAGAAGGAGCCTCCAAAATAGCTAGGCCCCTGCATTAGGGCTTGGTGGCTTGATTTAGGGATTGGTCGTCGTGTCGAGTATTCCCTTATAGTCCGTCTATGTTCACTTATGTCATGCGAAGCCCCTACAACCCGTACTGAGGCACCTACGTCACGCTTGAAAGCTCAGAGAAAGTTTGACTTGACGTTCGGGGCGCTTCGGGATCGCTCGTTCTTGTGTAGATATATATATATATATACGTACATACATACATACATACATACATACATACATACATACATACATACATACATTGCATGCATACATACATACATACATAGTGTGCATGTATGTATGTATGTATGTATGTATGTATGTATGTGTATGTATGTATGTATGTATGTCTGTCTGTCTGTCTGTCTGTATGTATGTATGTATGTATGTATGTATGTACATGGGTAATATGTATATACACATATACAGGTAGGTATTGGGGTTCAGGACCTGGGGTGAGGATATTGAGGGTTGAGTGGGGTTGTTTACAGGATTCCGGGTTTAAGGTTTGGCAAGTTACGGTTTAGGATTCAGGGCTCTCACCCTAAACCCTACACCCTGAAACCATTCGCATCACAAGTCGACAAGGCTTCGTACTAGGTTTTAACAGCCTTCTGGCTGATATTTATGGAACTATCTATCTACCTACCTACCTACCTACCTACCTACCTATCCACCTCCCTACCCGCCTACCTGCCTACCTACCCACCTACTTACCTACCTACCTGCCTACCCACCTACCCACCTACTTACCTACCTACCTACCTACCTGCCTACCTACCTACCTACCTACCTGCCTACCTACTTACCTACCTACCTACCTACCCACCTATCTACCTATCTCCTTATCTACCTATCTACCTATCTACCTATCTTCCTTCCTACCTACCTACCTACCTACCTACCTCCCTGCACCTACCTACCTACCTACCTACCTATCTATCTACCTATCTATCTACCTATCTACCTATCCACCTACCTA